GATTTTGGCCTGTAATTTTCTTTTTTTGTGATATCTTTGTCTGATTTGGAATTAGGGTGATGGTGGCCTCATAGAATGAGTTCAGAAATGTTCCTTCCTCTGCAGTTTTTTGGAAAAGTTTTAGAAGGATAGGCGTTTGGTAGAAGTCCCCTTGAAGCCATCAAGAAATATATTATTGATAATTCATATGTAACTATATTTTGCATAAAATAACAATACAGATGAATGTTCACAGGTGTGCTTCTCAAACAGTTCTGGAACACTAGAGTTTGGAGGTGAATAACTTATTACTAACACCAAATGGTCAAGAGGTGGGGTCAGCGAGATGACAGAGTAGGAAGCCCTGGACCATCCTTCCCCGCGTAAACTCACCAGCTCAGCAGCAATTCGTGGACAGATTCCCTTGTGAGAAATCCAGAAACTAAGTGAAAAACCCCTGTACTCTAGGTGAATGTGAAACCAGACTCACTGGATCTGGTAGGGAGAATTTGGGATCCCATCTGGCTGGAGTCTCTGCCCCAAGGACAGCACCATACAATCAGCAAGAGACCCCCTAACTCTTGGCTTCTCCCAGGGGAGCAAAGGTTCACATGCCCAGTGCCCCAGCTTTCTTGACAGGGATCCTAGAGGATTAAGCTCTGTCTCATCAATCTTGGAACTGGATGGACCCACCACAGTCTAACAGCCTGCAGAGAACAGAGGTGGCCACTTAGGATGTCAGACATCACAGCTCCCTCTTTTGCCCAGTGCAGAGAGAGCAGATGAAAAAGCAAAGATTTGGAGAAAGGCTGTGCATCCCACATGGGCAGCAAGGCTATATGGGGTCTTGCTCAAACAATGTATCCAGCCTCCACATAAGGGGCAAAGTGTGGGGACCTGCTCATCAAGGCAGTTGCCTAGGTGGGTGGGGGTAGGCCCTTGCCAGGAGGGCATGGATGCCTGAGGCCAGGCACAGGGTTGCAAACTGCACCGCACACACAATGCAGCTCTCAGCATCCAAGGGGCCCAGGTCCCCATCCTTGTGTCTGGGCTGTATAGGCAGAGACTGAGTAACAGACGTGGGTACCTGGGAGTCACACCACTCTGCCAAGATATGGCTCCCTGGTAGCAGCCGTACAGCTCATTCCAAAACAAAGGAGCCTATTTCCATGAAGCTTTTCATTTTTATGAAGACCAATTTATTTTTTTCTCTTATTGTCTATGCTCTTGGGGTCATATTTAAGAAACTATTGCCTAATCCAAGGTCTTGCAGAATTTCCCCTATTTTTTCTACTAAGAGTTTTAGTTTTAGCTGTTACATTTTCAGTCTTTGATTCATTCTGAATTAATTTTTTGAATATAGTGTAAAGTTAATGGTCCAACTTCATTATTTTAAAGGCTAATCAGTTTTCCTAGTACTATTTATTGAAGAGACTGTTCCCTTCTCCCTGACTGATCTTGGCACTCTTATCAAACACCAACTGACCATGGATATGAAAATTTATAGGTTCTCAGTTCTATTCCATTTGTCTATATGTCTGTCCGATGCCACTACCACACTGTTTTGACTAGTGTCACTTTGTAATGAGTTTTGAAAGCAAGGAGTGGGTGTAATCCACTTTGTTCTTTTTCAAGATCGCCTTAGCTATTCTGAATCCATTGGAATTTGATATGAATTTTCATATGGGTTTATCCATTTCTGGAAAAAAAAAGCCATTGGGATTATTTAGGGATTGCATTGAATCTGTGTATTACTTAGCATTGTCAATTTAACAATATTAAGTTTTCCAATCCATGAACACAGTATGTCTTTCTACTTACTTGTTTCTTCTTTAGTTTCTTTCAGCATTGTTTTATATTTTTCATGTAAAAGTCTTGCACTTGTACACTGACTAAGTTTATTCCTAAGAATTTTACTCTTTTGATGCTGTAGTAAATTGTTTACTTAATTTCCTTTTTTTGGATTTTTCATTGCTAGTGAAAAGACATACATGATTTTGTGTGTTGATTTTGTATCCCATACCTTTGCTGAATTAGCTCTAACAACAGTGTGTGTTTGTGAGATTCTTCAGGGTTTACTATATATAAGAGCATGTTATCTGCTCATTGAGATAGCTTTATTTTTTTCCTTTCTAGTTTGGGCTTTTCTTTGTTGGAAAGTTCTTAATCACTGACTTAATCTCCTTTTATAGATCTATTCATATTTTCTATTTCTTCTTGAGTCAGGTTTGGTAGTTTGTGTCTTCCTAGAAATTTGTGCATTTCATTTAGTTTATCCGATTTGTTTGCATACAGCTCTTCATAGTATTCTGTTGTAACCCTTTTTTTTCTTTTTTTGTAAATGGAGTATTGATTTCCCTTCTTTCACTTTTGATTTTAGTAGTTTGCATCTTCTCTCTCTGTCTCTCTCTCTCTGTCTCTCCTATCAACCTAGCTCAAGGTTTGTTGAGGTTTTTTTTAACCTTTTCAGAGAACAACCTTTTGGTTCCATTGGTTTTTTCTATTGATTTTATATTCCCAATTTCATTAACTTACACTCAAATCCTTAATATTTCCTTTCTTCTGCTAAATTTGGGTTTGAATATGCCCTTCTTTTTCTAGTTTCTTACAGTGTACATTTAACATACATTTATTGATTTGAGAGTCTTCTTATTAATGTATTAATTTTAGCTCAGATTTTCCTCTGTTTCTGCTGCATTCCATAAGTTTTGGTATGTTGTGTTCTCATTTTTATTCATCTTAAGATATCTTCTAATTTCTCTTGTGATTTCTTCTATGATCCATTGGTTCTAAAGGTGTGTTGTCTAATTTCTACATATTTATAAGCTTTCTACTTTTCCTTCTGTTATTTATAGTATCATTCCATTATAGGCAGAAAATATACCTCATATGATTTCAATATTTTAAAAATTTATTAAGACTTTTTGGTGGACTAACATGTGGTTTACTTAGACAGTGTGCCATGTGCACTTGAGAAGAATGTGTATTCTACTGTTGACTGGTAGAACGTTCTGTATATATAATTTATGTCTAATTGGACTGTAGTATTGCTGAAGTCCTCCATTTCCTTATTGATTTTCTGTCTTGTTCTATCTGTTATTGAAAGAGAGCCGTTGAAGTTTCCAACTATTATTGTGGAACTATTTCTTCCTTCAATTCTGTTAAAGTTTGCTTCATATATTTTGGGGTTCTGTTATGTGTGTATGTGTTTATAATTGTTATATCTTGACAAATTGCAACTTTTTCAATATATAATGTTCATTTTTATCTCTCATACAAACTTCTTTGATGCAAAATATATTTTTCTGATAATAATATAGCCCCTGTAGCTTTCTTTTAGTTACTATTTGCATGAAATATACTCTTTCATCCTTTTACTTTCAAGCTTTTTGTGTCTTTGGATCTAAAGTGAATCTCTTATAGACACCATATAGATGGATCACATGTCTTAATCCATTCTACCAATCTCCACCTTTAAATTGGAGAATTTACTCCATGTATATTTAAAGCAGTTACTGCTTAGGAAGGACTTATCTGCCATTTACCTATTTGTTTTCTGTGTCCTACATGCTTCTGTTCCTCAACTCCTCCATTACTGCCTCTTTTTGTATTTGGTTGATTTTTTGTGTATAGTACACCAGTTGTATCTTTTCCCACCTATTTAGTAGAATGGTAGTCAATTATCAAGTCCTGAAGACACAATGCAGCCTTCTAAGTATTCCCTGATCATTCCATTTATCACTGACTCACATTTCTACATTATTTTCAGTTGCTGTCATTTTTCACTTTGCAATGTCTCCTGTCTAGATAGCTTACATCTCATTTTCCCTCTCCATTTCCTATATGCATCTGCTCAAAGCACTTTGTGCTTACCTCTAAGAGCCCTAGAACACATGTTAATATTCTATGTCCAGCCGCTAGAATCTTAAGCTCCTTTAGGACAAGGATTGTGTATATTCAGGCCTGCAACAGTGTCCAGCAAGAGCTGAACAAATGATTCTTGAATGTCTGAAACATACCTATAACAATAGTCCCCTCAGAGTGTTATGACAGAGGATAGTGGCACAAGACAGAAACCAGCACAATGTGAATATATATAACTTTTAAAACTGAATTCTCTTTCTTGCTCCCTTACCTCTGATTTTGAAAATCCTACCCATTTTTCAAGATCTACTTCATCCCCTACCTTCTTCAGCTCCATCAAACATATACCCGTCAGTTCAGCACTGAAATATACACTAATTCAAAATCCCCAATATTATTCATAATGTTCCCCTCATCACAAAAGGGAGGGATGTGTAGGTGTTAGGAGAGAGCTCCACCATATTTGTAATAGATTTTATAAACAGAATGCAGTTCCACTCACCACCCCCACCCCGTTGCTCATCACCAACATGCTTAATAAGGTCCTGTCTGATGGTGGTTATAATTAGGTATTATTTCTGTGAATTTTGTCTCGCCATTTAATTTGAATTTCCCCAAAGGTAACGATCTTCATTATCATGTATTAACCAAGAACCCATAGTTTTGTATTAACCAAGAACCCGCAGTTCAAGCAGACACACAATATGTATTTCCCCTACATAGACATTTAATGGTTGTGTCATCATGCCTTGGTCTGTAACTGAGTCAGACTATTGGAATGCACAGCAGTATACCAGAATGTACTTTTATTTTATGCATCTAACATTTTGGTACAATGTTCTTATACCTGGAGAAATCATAGCCAAAATGATAAGATTAGGGAACAACGTACTCTTCTTTTCGTGAGGAACTACGGTGGTTGTGGAGGGGTTTCTTCTTTTCACATCGCATCCTCCTTATGCTCTGGAGGCTGAGTCTCGGTCTGGCTCATCCAGCTGGGACAACATCCACGTATGAAGAAGCTGTGTGGTCAAGTTCAGGTCAGCAGCCAGAGCCAAGCCGGTGTACCTCTGTGAGCCTGCTCCCTGAAAACAAAGAAGGAAAGTGGGTTTGATGGGAAAAGTCATCTACTCATACTCTTATCTCTCACACTGTCCAGGATAGAAAAGTTTTTAAGTTTTCCATCAGTAAACCAGGCAGACTCAATCCACAGATGTACCACGTCGCTACCTCTCCCCAGTAAGCACCTCTTTGGCAAGGAAAAGTGGCAAGGAAAAGAAATGACTGCCTTTTACTCTATGATTGCTACCATCCTATTACATTATCACATAGCACCCACAGGTCATTAATAGGTTCCAAGTCCCCAGAAGCTTACAGAATCAAGTTGAGGCTGCTGACTGAGATTTCAGCCATTCAGAGTGAAGAAGTGGGAGGGAATTAAGGGGAGAGACTACATGAGACTGAGTCGTGGCAGAAGGGCACAACCAGCTTGAGACCAAGACTTGCAAACCCACGGGTGTCTCACTGGTCCCACTGTCTCCCAGGTCCTTGGCATCTACAGAGCTTGGCTTTGGGGCTTCCAGGCTGGTATGGGGGAGCCTAGTGTGTCTGGCAGGAAACAAATTTGATTCAGGAATGTGGGGGAAGTTCTGGTCTTTGCGGAATAGCCTTGTCCTCGGCCCAGCCACTGTAATGAGCAAAGAAGATAAAATAATAATTAAAGAGGTACTTTACTCTAGTTTTCCTCAGTGTTCTCAGCAACAAACTCCTCAAACATTCTATTAATTGTGTCCATTGCCTCTTGGACATTAGATGCTCCGTGGACAGCATTTTTCAAAATACTTCTTCCAAATCGGGCTCGGATAGAGTCTGGGGACAGTAGTTTCGCTTCCTCTGGGTCTATGGGACCCATCAATCGTCTCCAGTCTGAAACAGCATTCCACTTGGTCAGAATCATGATCAGAGATGGACCCCTGCAAACAACAATGCTTTCAGAAGACCTGGGCTATCGACAGCTGTAGGGATGGCAGACACAGCTAAAGATGATGCCACAGCATCATCCAGAGAACTCGTGTTTATTCTTTGTCCTTATCAGTGTGATAGTGTGCTTTCTTTTTCTTCTTAAAAAAAAAAAAAGTCTCCTTCTTCCAACAGGTTTTGGTACTAGAAGAGTGCTGTATTTTAATTCTAGGGATACATGCCAGGCACTATTCCAAGTATGTTCAATGTATCAGTTATGTAACCCTCAGAAGAGTACCTATAAGATAGGTACTATGACTATCCCCATTTTATGGATAAGGAAACTAAGGCAAAGATCAAGTAGGCTGACAAAGCAGGGATGTAAAAGCAGATCGTTTCTGTCTAAGGTGAAGACCTTGGGGGGAGGGTGTCCCTCAGTGGTAGAGCGCATGCTTAGCAATGCACAAGGTCCTAGGTTCAATCCCCAGTACCTCCATTAAAAAAAAATTAATTAAAAGCAAAAGAAACAGAGAACGGAATGAAGAAGACAGAAAAAGACCAAGAGAGGAGGAATTAGAGGGGAAAAAAAGAACCCTCCAAATAGTACCAGGCTGTCTTTCCATGAAGTAGATTAGATGGAACGTTTTAATGAACTTTTGTATTTTTTGAAGTTTCTACAATAAACAATGACTAGTTTTATAATGCAAAGAACTACATATCAGAAACTTACTCAGATAAAATTTCCAATACATCTTTATAAAAGTCTTTTCCTTTTATTTTAAAATAAACTTTTTCTGCTTGCTCTTCAGTTAGAAGCATCTCTTTCATCTGTGATATATCAAATCCAGCCTCCTTGATAAGCTTCAGGATATCCTCTAGGGAAAACAAACATTTGGTAATCCTGCAGATTGCCTCCACTTTTGCTCCATATTCAAGGAGATTGAAATAACCAAGGAAAGTAATAGTGTTACTTGCATACAATGGCTTAAAAATCCAAAACCATGCTGAACTAAATTGAACTTGAGAAGCACCAGATGGACATTCAGAGGAATTTTAATATGTTAATATAGATGTTCAACTTCTGAGATCCATCTTTCCAGAAGCCACCTGAAACATCCAGTGAACTTAATAAAAGGGGGAGAGGAAGAGGTCTGCTCCTGTGCTAAAAGTGAAGACGTGTTTTCATCTCCAAGGATGAAATGCCAAGGAGCTTCTTGCTAGAAATGGATTCAAGGGGAGAACCAACTGAACTCTTCCCCCAGAACTAGCTGGGCACCATTAAGGGAACCAAATAAAGTCAATCTTGTGAAAATCTCCCCAACAGCCTAAACTTGGGAGAGCTCCTCCTGGCAATGAAGGTGCTCATTGCTTTATTCTTTTAACTTTCCTGGAGTTTGAAAAATTTCACAGAATTTGAAGGAAAACGTACACATTGGCCTCATTTTTACATATTTACCTCTTTGTTCTTGTGTTACATGAGGTTTAATCAGTGCTATCGTGTTTTGTGGAGGAAAGAAATACTTTATTTCTCTTCTAGCAGCTTCTAATGAATCACTTCCGTGCAGCTGGTTGACAGGCAAACCTTCCATTGCAAATTGCACGCATAAACTTTGAAAAAGAAGTCAAGTTAAAAACGGTTGTAACATATAATTTAACATAACACAGCGTAAAACTATTCATATTTGCATTGTGCAAAAGAAAGTAATCGCGGGATGGCTTGGGGTATGCTGCCTCCTTCCAAGGAGGTAACAGTCATTAGGAAGAGAAGACATGAACATTTCAGTCGTCATGATAATGGATGCTGACAACTGTGAAAGGAGGTGTGAACACCCAGGTGCAGTGAAAACGCAGACTGTAGAATCCTGGTGTCATGACTTGCTAGCTGTGTGATACTGGCCAGTTACTTTTCTGTGCTTTAGTTGTCTCAAGTATAAAAATGATAACAAACCCTGTTTGGGAAGGAGATTTTGAGGATATAATCAGATGATGGATTTGAAATATATGGTACATATTAAGCCATCAATTCCTTCCCCTTTCATCACTAAATATTATCAAGCAGGCGAGCTGGCATTTGACCCTGTAGCAAAGATACCAAATTATAAACACTGAATCCAGGAGATGCCACAGTAGAACCCTCCAGGTGAGCAAATGCAGCAAGAAAAGAGGAGCATACAGGATGGCTTTGTGTAAAGAGGCAGGAGTGACATTGATGGTAAAGGACAGTTGTGTCGGGTTCTGTTTCTGTATGAGAGATGAGTACGTGTCTCCAAAATCAGTTGTTCCTTGATGCTTTTTGGTTGCCCCCTTTTCTGTCTTTCTATCTATTTCAGTAGAGAAGATACTCACTGCTCATTACATTTTTCTGCCCTTTATACACAGTCCTAAGCAAGCAACCCGCAAAATCCAGCCATGGTGAATAATGTCCCTTCCAGTTAATAGACTGACGTCACTGGAAACTTGGCTTTCTGTCCTCAGCTTTAAGATCCTCTTCTTCTCTCTCTGGCTTCAGTGACCATTTCAGATTTCCTTTTTTCCTTATCCAACTTGACCTTTCTACTCAGCCTTTGGCTGTTCTCACACCTCTGATTTGAAGATACTTGGAGACTAAGAGCCTTGGAGCCTGTGATTGCCAGGGATGAGGGATTTGCACAATGAATAATAAAAACAGGCTAAGCCATCACCGGCACCTACTCCATTCACTGCAGAGAACTACAATCAGCCCCTCTGTTATGCTGTTATTGGGAAAAGGCTCTGCATGTGTGTGTGTAAGGATGGGATAGAGGGGTTGCTATGTTTCTCCTGTATGCAAGTGACCATATTTCAGATTAAGAAATGGAGAGTGTGGAATCTGATACCCAAGTGCAGGAAAGGGCAGAACTCTGCTGGAAGAGCTATTTCTAAAGCAACCTGAAAGAGTTAGGAGGAGCCAAGGAAACTAGAAAGGTGAGAACCAATCAAAAATAATGCCTAAGAGTAATTATGAACTTGTGGCAATGTTAGGGATCATAAGGGCTTGGGATGGGAATTCTCAGTGTAATCATAGGGTGGAGAGGGGCAGTCGCTGGGTACCTTCACCTGGAGAAAATATTGCTGTGCTGGTACACAGCCTCCACACTGGGGACCACAATTTCTAGACAGATGTGCACACAGGGATAGGTCTTGTGTCAATAGGAATTCCTCTCTCTGATGCCATGTATTACATTCTATGCAAATTTCATTAAGAGCTTCTACGGCGTCCTGCTCATACCACGTAAAGAATGCCCAACACATGTTATCCTTTATAGTAACTGTCTGGCACAGGAGCAATGACATAAGTGAGTAAGGCTAAGAGTTGGGGTAAAATACATTCATTCAGGACAACTCAGATTCAAGATCTCCGACCCAAAAGAAAACACTTCAACTTCTGCATGAGTGATGTTTCATGAGTACAGTTATTTACTGTGTCCACATGTATGTCAAGTTTGCTGTGCCTGACAGAGCATCTTGGTTGTTGCTCACTTGAAGGAAGGGCCTTTCTTCCCCTGAATCCAATCCTACTCTGAAATTGGCACAAAGAATTCGAGCAAATTGCAGCTCAGTTTGTTGCCATCAGCTACATGCCAAGAAAGGAGATGCATGAGATACTATCCTCAGCCTCCAGCTGGTACCAAGCCTGGCAGTTAAGATCAAAAAATATTTAAATAGTGCCCTACTCTGTGCCAGGGACAGGCCAGGTGTTGGGCTGATTACAAAGATTAGCTGCCTTTGACAACTCATTGGGAAACTCACTTAGTAAATGTTCCCACCAAATTGGAGACTACATATTGAGTCAGTCACCACTGTCTTGAAACTCGTATGATCAACTAAAGAACCTGCAGCTACTATCACACTCTTCTTAAAACAATTTCTCCTAAGCAGTGCATGGGGCAGATACTTCTGCCAAGATACGGCCTTTCAGCAGGGTATCTACCACTTACTTTCCACCCCAAACCAAGCAGCCCACATCCTTCTCTTGCAAAGCCATGGCCATATCAGGTTGACACTAGGCTAGGCTTCCAATCATAAGCAGTCCACTCCTTATCCAGCAAAAGTAGCTTTCCTGAGATCGTCCCTTGGACTGGAGCTGTGGTTCCTGTGCCCCATATCCAAAAAGAAACCAAAACGGCTCCATGAAAAAAGTGGGGGACCCCTGACACAAATCATACCTCTGTGGAAAATATTCTTCAGCTTCTTTGACAGTGCTTGGTCCAATTAACTGTCTCCAGTGTCTTAAACCATTTTCCCTTAATAAAACAAGGGCTAGAGACGGACCACTATTAGAAAAGAAAAAAAAATGAAGTTAATAAAAGTATGGCTCATAGCTAATTACAAACAGGTAATACAAGTGTATTTGTTAAATAGACTAAAAAAGTAAAATAACCCTTCCATCAAGCATCTGAAATTAACTTCTGTTGGTGTACCCTCAAGAGCATATTCATAAAAGGATGGGAGCAGAGAAAGGAAGGGAAGAGAAGGGCTTTGGTTCTGACAGAATGTTTCCTACATGGTCCCCATGCTGCTGCTGATTTATGTACCCTTTCTGGCCTTCTGCCCCTGCTGCCATTTCACTTACTTTTCTAGAAACCTAATAGATTTCTAGCATCCCTTTCCTCTCCTAGGACTAGTGATCTTTAGGATTACCAAAGCCCTTGAGAGTCCATCACGGTTCTCTGCTTGGACTTGATGGTGCCACACACCCTGGATCCTGGCATTCAACTCAGCTGGGCCCCAGAAACTTCACCTGGGACCTTTGCATTGCTCTAATAACATCCCAGGAGGGCTAGAGAAGACAGACAGTTGAGCAGAGATTCGAGATGGAGGGGAGACTGGCAGAGAAGTAGGCTCAGCCCAAGTTTACAGAATTGAGAGGTCTGGCGACTTGAACACAAAGCAGGGTTAAGAGAAGGTTTAAATGATTCTAACATAAATCAGACTGTGCTTTCTAAACCTGAAATCTGTTTTACCTGGTCATGTTTTCTATAAGACTTTCAAAATAATCTTTATTTTCATGTTCTTTGCACAGTGTTTCTGCTTCTTCTCTTGATAATACTATTTGTCTTTGCATCAGTATTTTAAAGCCTTCATCTTCAATGATGTTCAAAACGGCCTCTAAATAGAAAGCCCACACAATCAGTTTCAAACTGCTGGGTTATTGGTTATATACACAATACAGAATGTATTGTCATGAGGACATAGAATGCATTTCATTCTCATATGAAATTTAAGTTTACAAAAATAGCTTATTGAATTTTAATTTAAGATGAACAATATTCTTAACATAATTATGATGCCATTTCCAATTTTTCAGTGGACCAAAATCTATAGGTTTGAGGATAAGGAATTTACACCAAAAAATTATATAATCAGGTTAATTTTATTTCGTATATAAAGTTAATTTAATGACATTCTCAGATATGCTAGGGCTCAGGAAAGAAAATAACTTTGTATCTTTAAATTTTTTAAAAAATATTATTTAATCTTTTTTCAGTGTGTTTACCTATAGGCTCTAGATAACTGAGAGATGAAATATAATTAAGTGATTAAAAATGGGAAATTAAAAAAATGGGAAATTAATATACCTAAAGACTGTGGGATGTTTGAAAACTAGTTTATATAAGAAAAGTTTAAATAAATCTGTTATAAACCTGATTATAAACAAAAAGTAAATTGCAAAATACCATCAAAAGGCAAGACATGTATATAAAAATAACCACCATCTATGTACTAAAACCTCAAACAATATTAACAAAAGCTAGGAACACAGAACCTGAAAGTGGGTGGGTTGAGAACAGGGAGAGGAATAAAGCTCTACTAGACTCAAAACAATTATTCCCTCTTGATTTTGCAAAGTAATCAAGTGCGAGTTTAAACATACTTCAAAAGGGTAAAAACAACATAATTATAATTTTTAAAAATTACTCATCTTCCAAAATCCTAGAAAAAGTAATCGCAAAAGGTGCTTATAGCAAAATACAAAAACCAAAAATGATAGCAAGGAAGCACAGAAAACAGAAATAATAAACAGTCACAATTATAAAATTTGTATGAATTAAAATCCTCTACTAATAGTCTCTGATTACGGCCAAACCATTTCCAAATTCAGAACAGTGAATACTAAAAATTAGGAAACAAAGCTAAAGCAGGAATGTTTTAATTACCAAGCACTAAAGAATTATAATAAAAAGAAGAAAATTCAAATCTGGAGTTAGAAAAGGAGCAAAAATAGACACCTAAGACATCAAAATGAATGCAAATGAATTGTTACAGATAAGTTAAGAAAAACTATTGAGCTGCTTTTTGAAAGAAATTGTAATGCTATTTTTTTTAAGAAAGTGACCTTATAATAAACCTAATCAAGCAAAAACTGAAAACACACAAAGTACATTATGAATGAGAAATAAGTGCAGCTATTCTCCATGATATTAAAACTATTTTGGTAGGATGCCCAATGCCAGTACATTTGAAAGTAAAGAAATGAATCTCAAAGGAAGTATAAATTGCCACACAATGACCCAAAGAATCTTTAAAAAGTGGAACAGATAAGGAACTATGGAAGAAATTTTGAAAGTTGTCTAAAAGCCTACTTTTTCCTCCAAAATGAAGGATCATCTTTGGTAGCTTTATTAATAAATTTTAGGTTATTGGGCTTTTAAAACTCCCCCAGTGTGCTTAACAAAGAAAAGTCAGAATAATCCTGACAATACTTGGGAAAGATTAAAGAAGAACATTTGAACTAAAATAAATATTACCAAAGAAAATCCAATAGGATGGTGTACATTATGAGCTATGAAAGTTTATCTGAGGAACCCAAGGAAGGCTGAACATTTGAAAATGTATTCTAATTACATCGATAGCCCAGCAGGTCGAAGGGGAAAGAATATTTTATGTTCATCTCAGTAAATAACAAAAAAGCATTGCATTACATCCAAAGTCTTTTTGTATCGCATAGCAAATAGAAATACTTTGGAATAGAAGGATTTTGCCTAAAATCCAAAGTCAACATCATAATTGAAAACACTGGAGGCATTAAGAGCAGTCGAGGGTAAAACAAAGGCAGCCTCTTACCATAACTGCCTTTAATTACTTAACATTTCTCTAGAAGTACTAAGCAATCCATAAAGACAAGATATTTGAACAAAATGGAAAACATTGAGTATAAGCTGTTTGGAAAATTCAAAGTCTATTTTAAAAGGTAAATATTTATTATTAGATAACATAATTCAGTAAGATGGTCAGCAGGGAAAAATATACAAAAGCCACTATCTTATATAGAAAATAAATTTAGAGGGGAAAAGATGTCACTCACTATGGGGGAGAAAGCTAAGAATGATCCTAAAAAGACGTATCTGGCACTGAAACAGCAACAACTATAAACAGCTGACCTTTATTAAATGAATAGTTTGAAGCAAAGAACTTTACATTGTCAACTGAAAAAACAAATGCACTACATGACAGTTGTGAGTTAACTTTCCTTTGAGGCAAAATGAGGACTATAGCCTGGGAGGCAGCCTTTCAGACAGCCCTGGGGAACTGCTCTGAAGCAGCAGAGGGGAATGTCAGTACATATATATATATATATATATGTATATGTATGTATATGTGTGTGTATATATATATATATAATATATATATATATGATTTGGGGGGATATGTGCAGTCAAGCACACATTTTGGCATAAGGTTGCTGCTAGTCACGAGGAGGAGATGTCTCCATTAATGATTTTAGTGCTTTTTCAGATATGAGAAGACGCAAGAACTAGGGCTCATAAAATCTTCTCCTGAAAATATCTAACCATCTGAAGGCCTGTACTGCCAGTTTTTCCCAAAGCATGGTGTGCCTCATTCCTGATCACGGCCCTGAACTCCTTTCAGGGTGAGCTGAGGTCAGCTACTGCCGTGCCTAGTGACCTAATCCTTGTAGAGGCAGATGGCAAGTGACAATTTTTATTTGGGAACATGTATTACCACATTTAATTGAAAAATAAGGTAACGGCTATAATGAATAAAATTTATTATATTTGAATAAAAGATGGAGTAGATGAGTTGAATAGAAGTACAGTGTATTCCTTGAAAATAAATGAGACTATAATGAAGATGTCACTTTTCCTCAAGTTAAACTATCTACATAGACTTTGGGATTTTCTGAAGTGATCCAGAAGAGTTAAATGTCAATAATAGTCAACATTTATTGAAAAAGATGAGTGATGTGTTACCACTTACTACCAAATGGCAAACATAGTAAACCTGAAATGATAAAAAAAAAACTAAAGCTAGAGTCGAACAGTAGATCAGTGGGAGGGAGACACAGAATAACCAACTTCAAAGTTTGTTTTCCCCCTTTTTAATTAACACTTTTATGGCATCCTCAAGTATCAATACAGGTTGTCTATCACAGTAATATGGTATTACGCTAACAGCTATCACCAAAATTCTTCAGAGGAGAATACTGTGTTTGGGAAAAATTATTTCAACAAATTGTTAGCAGTAGAAGGTGAGATCTTTGCAACTTGGGTGAGGGTGGATTTGCCTGGCTTAGAAAAACTGAACAAATATATTTGTCTACCAGGGACAGGAGTCAGGGTTTCAGCAGCAATCCACATCAAGGTGACCAATATGGAAGCAGCAACTGGGCTAAACACTGCCAAGAGCTGTGAATGGAGGATAAGCTGTTCAAAAGTTGGATTTTGGCAATTTGGAGGTCGGTGGTGAACTTGACTAGAATAGTTCTGGCAGAAGCTAAGTTAGAGAGGGTTCCGGAGTGAGTGAAGGTCAAGGAGCCAACTCACTGAGCATAGATAACTCCTTGAGAAGTTGCCCGCTGCAAAGGAGCGGAGAAACAAGGTATCAGAGAAGGGAGTATGAGATCCAGTGAAGCTGTTTTGGTTTTGTTCTTATTTCATTAAATTATGTTTATTACTATGTTGGAGTATGTTTCTCTGCTAATAGGAAAAAGCCAGTGGCATGAGAGAAAGTATAAGAAAAGAAGGGGCATTTGCAAATGTGAAGTCCTTGGGGGAGCAGGTAGAAATGGCACACGCGGACCAAGAAAAGGGCCTGGCCTCTGATGGATCATGTACACTACAGGGTTGCCTCCCCTCCTCTCAGCCAATAATGCTGCTTCTTATTTACGGAGAAACCAGGCAGCGGAAGGCACATCCTGCAACCTCCTGCCACCACCCCGGAACTGGATCTGTGTCTATCCAGCCCTCTTTCCCTCTTGCTCTTTAAAAGACAAATCTCTTCTAAGCCCAATTCTCCACACCTGCTACAGAAATTACTTCCTCCCGACTCTCAATGACCTTGGCCTGTCCTAATCTTCACTCCCTTTCTTGTATCTTCAACTGTCCCTTTTCTACTGGTTGGTTCCTTCCCTTGAGTATTTATCTACAATCAGATTTTTCCAACCTCAAATAAAAAAACATCTAAATTCTTTTCAAAAATTACTTCAATTCTGGGTTGTTCTGAGTTCACTGTATATAATCTCTCACCCCAATTTTGCAAGCACTCCACTGAAACTACTCAAGATTCCCCTCCTGGCTAACTTGAACTTGACTTTTTTAGTCTTTGCACAAACAGTGCTTCCTCCAGGAAGCTTTACGTAACTGTCCCCGCTTGGTGTCTCCATCATTATCCTTCCACTCAAATATGGGCTGCACATCCCACCTGTTTGCTTACCCCGTGAGCCATCTCTTACAATACTGCTTTCTACACCCAGCTGTTATTACCGATTACTTAGATGTATTTTGCAGCAGATTGTTGTACTAGTCAGGATAGATTATGCTGTGTAGAAAATTAAACCCAAAACACGAGTGGCTTAACACATCAGAGAGATACTTATCAGCAATGTTACCTGTTCACAACAGAGCTGCCTATTGCAGCTTTATTTATAATGGCCCAAACTGGAAGCAACTAAGACGGCCTTTAACGGGTAACTGGACAAACTTTGGTATATTATGTTATTCAGCTATGAAAAGAAATGAGCTATTAAGCCATAGGAAGACAGGAAGGAACCTTAAGCGTATATTATTAAGTGAAAGAAATCCACCTGAAAAGGCTGCATACTGCATGATTCCAACTACAGGGTAGTCAGGAAAACGTGAAACTACAGAGACACCAGTAAGATCAGAGATCGCCAGGGGCTGGAAGGGAGGAAAGGGGGATGAACAGGAGCAGCACAAGGGATTTCTAGGGCAGTGATTCTACCATATATGATGCTGTAAAAAAGATACAATTTTTCAAAACCCAATGAATGTGCAAGACAAAGAGCAAACCTTAATGTAAACTATGGACTTTAGTTAATAACAATGCATTTATGTTGGCTCATTAATTATAAAAAATGTATCACAAGAATATAGGTTAGACACTTTCTCAACTCTTTAACTACAAAAGAGTTTCATTCTTTTTATTGAGAAATTAGTAAATTAATATTAACTAAATGTCTTGAATCAAGTGCTTTTTCCCTAAATATTTAACTTTTAAAGTAGTATCTTTTAATATAATTATACTAGGGTTTATTCAAATCCCATGTGCAAAATAGCTAAATAATTTATACTTTCTCTCTTACCTTTCCTTTCATGAAAGAGGGCTGGTCGAAGTAATGCCAGTATCTTTTCTACTTTTATGCTTTTCATTCTTTTAAGATCAGGGAAGAAGACGTCAATGAACTTAGTATTAGTTATATTCTCTTCAACATCACAAAACTGAGATATATTTTGTCTTTCCAGATATTCTTGTAAACTGTTGAAATCCAAAATATAATTAGAAACTGACGTTTAACAATCATGCTGAAAGATTTAGAGTTTAGTAAAACAAATACAAATTGAATTTCGCATAAAGACAAGGTGTATCACTCTCTCACATCAAAGGCTATGTATTTAATTCAACTTTCATTGAACCAATCCAAAAATTGATTTCATGAAATCGTATACATTTGACTTAATGAGTTTTTTTTAAAGAAACATCATTATTTATGGAGGAAATCATTGATTCTCAGAAGATCAACTGAGAAATAACTAGCACTTATAAGAGTTCTGTAAGGGGCCAAGAAAAGATCAAAATACAAACACTAATAATAGATCTCTAATAAACCAGCAATGATCAACTATAAAATAGAAAAGTTTATATAATAAAATAATATAGAAAATATTGTCCACAGACAATAGAACAAAAATAAGATACCTAAGAAATATTCTAGTAAGAAATATAAACTCATATTACTTCACTTTTATATTTACCTCTCTCTTCCATCTGAAATTTATTTTTGAGTATAATATGAGGTTAACATCTAACTTTTCTTTACAATTGAATATCCAATTGCATCAAAAACAAATGGATTGATATGTGCAAAATTTTTTAATGGAAAGACTCATAATATTTTTTTCTTTCTTTTTTTTTTTGTTCTCTTTTCTTGTGATTTGATGACTAGAGAAGTTCCTTTAACATTGTTGTAAAGTTGGTTTGGTGGTGCTGAATTCTTTTAGCTTTTGTTTATCTGTGAAGCTTTTTTTTTCTATTGACATTACAATTTTTTTTAATTGAGGTATATATAGTCAGTTTACAATGTTGTGTCAATTTCTGGTATATAGCACAATGCTTTAGTCATACACGAATATACATATATTCATTTTCATATTTTTCACTGTAAGCTACTACAAGATTTTGAATGTATATCCCTGTGCTATACAGTATAAACTTGTTTATCTATTTTATATATACCAGTCAATATCTGCATATCTTGAACTCCCAGTTTATCCTTTCCCACCTCCCTACCCTCTGGCTACCACAAGTCTGTATTCTATGTCTGTGAGTCTGTTTCTGTTTTACGTAAGTTCATTTGTCTTTTTTTTATATATATATTCTACATAAGAGTGATATCATATGGTATTTTTCTTTTTTTCTGGCTTACTTCACTTAGAATAACATTCTCCAGGGCCATACATGTTGCAACAAATGGCATTATTTTATCATTTTTTAAGGCTGAGTAGCATTCCACTGCACAAATATATGACAGCCTCTTCATCCAGTCATCTGTCAATGGACATTTAGGTTGGTTGCTTCCATGTCTTGGCTATTGTAAATAGTGCTGCTATGAACATTGGGGTGTGTGTATCTTTTCGAATTAAGGTTTATCTGTGAAGCTTTTGATTTCTCCATCAAATCTAAACAAGAGTGCTAGGTAGAGTATTCTTGATTGTAAGTTTTCCCCTTTCATCACTTTAAATATATCATTCCATTCCCCTCTAACCTATAGAGCTTCTGCTGAAAACTCAGCTAATCACCTTATGGTAGTTTCCTTTTATGTTATTTGTTGCTTTTCTCTTGCTAATTTCAATATTTTCTCCTTATCCTTAATTTTTGTCAGTTTGATTGTTATGTGCCTCAGTGTGTTCCTCTTTGGGTTGATCCTGTGTGGAACTCTCTGTGCTTCCTGAACTTGAGTGACTGTTTCCTTTCCCAAGTTAGGGAAATTTTCAGCTATTATCTCTTCGAATATTTTCTCAGGTCCTTTCTCTCTCTTCTCTTTCTGAGACCCCTATAATATGAATGTTAGTGTATTTCTTGTTTTCTCAGAGTTCTCTTAAACTATCCTCATTTCTTTTC